ATAGTGGCCATACCCTCTGGGAGGTGTTTTCTCATTTTCTCTCTCCTGTCTCTGTCTCTGGTGAGTCCACACACCTTATGCCAAATTAAAAAATAATAATAATTGCAAAACGAATATCTACTTACTCAATTGAAACTATTTTAGTACTACCTGCAATCTTACTGTTATATTCAAGTACTGAAATTCAAAGATAACCACATACTACCTTAAACAAACTAACAAAAAACACCAACTTTACCTCTGGTTAAAAATAAAATGTCAGAATAGGCCATTTCCCATCTTAACAATGAGAAAGGGGCCAGCAGGTGATGTCGCGGTTAAGGCACCAGCCTCCTACATGATCGACCATGGTTCACGACCCAGCAGCTTGAAACTCAGGCCGGTGTGTGTTCATGCATGCCCAAAATCCCGAGAGGAGAATGGAAAAGAAGGGATTGTAGCATGGCCATCCCTTCTGGGGAGTGATTTTTCACTTTCTGTCTCTCTGTCTCTGCCTCTCTGGTGACCACAGATACCCTATAGCTAAAATCTCTTAAAAAGAGAGAGAGAGGGAGAAATGTAATAGACTACAAAATAATATGTTTTGTTTTAACCTATCAGATAGTGGAGAGACAGAACAAAAATTAACTTCATACCCAAAATGGGAGCACTTTTCATAGGAAAGAAGACTAATGACTGCATCCCAGGTACACAACAAAAAGAAGGGAACCCACCATAGTTGAGAACAACAAAAAAAAAAAAACCTAGTTGAAATTTTAACAAGTTTTGAATTACCACTTATGACAGTTCTGAATGAAAATTTCTAAAAGATTTGAGTGGGCTACAATGATAGATTAGAATTCCAAGGAGCCCCAGTCACAATGCAAGTTTACCTCAATTCCAGTTCTTTCTTACACTGTCTTCATGGAGTGTACAGTGGCAGTATCCCAAAGGCTGAGAAAGGGTAGACCAGCTAAAGAGAATTCCCTTTTGAAAGCATTCACTTAGTGCCAGAGTAGCAGCCCTGAAAACGGAGGTGGGGCAACAGGGTGGAAAGATGTCTCTAGAGTTGCAAAAGTAGAGGATAGGGCTGGAAAGCAAAGAACCACAGTTCCCTAGTACCACAAGGCCCACAGCTGAACAGCAAAGTAGAGAGAGATGTCTTACAGTTTGTAAATAGACTGACTTGGCTATGAAACAAAGAATCTTACCAGTTCCCAGATCCCCAGCCCTGTTGCAAGGAAACCTGGATCTTATTCTCAAAATATTTGACCCCAGTGATGAATGGAGTTTAAGTAACATGGCAGCAAAACCCAAACCCAACGGTGATAGACTGCATTAACTCTACTTTCCATCCTAGCAGCCAGGGCCAGGCAGAGCAAAGGGCTGCATTTTTCTAGAGGTAGATATTATTTGTTTTATCTCTAGACTTTTATATCAGTATCTGGCATACAATGAAAAATTCTAAGACACATAAAGTAGGAAAAAATGGCTTACAGTCAAGTTAAAAAATAAGTCAGTAGACATAGGCCTGCAGCTGACTCAGGTGTCAGAATCAAAGATTGTACAATAATTATGCCATGGATGTTAAAGGATCTCACCAAAAAGTAAAGAAGTGAATAGATGGGAATTTTAGTACAGAAATGGAAACTCTTAAAAAGAACCAAGACTGGGGCCAGCAAGTGGTGTGGTATTTAAAGACACTGGACTCCTACATGACTGACTGTGGTTCAAGTCCCAGACCTGGCAGTTTGCTTTCTCACTTTGCCCTCTCTCTGTCACTCTCCAGTCAAATTAAAAAAATAATAATGATTGAAGTTAAAATAATTCTTTTAAAAAAAGAGAGAAGAACCAACACTGGCTCCATAGCCTAGTGTCTAGGTAACCAGATTCCATATGGCCTACTGTGATTCCAGTCCTGGTCCTGGTGTCTTCATGCCATAATCCTCCAGCCTCCATAGGTTTTTGCCAGAGGACGGGCACCACCACACCCCAAAATTGTGCACATTGAGAGAGAGAGAGAAAGATGGACTCGACGCTGCAATCCTCCAGCCGCCATAGTTTTTTGCCATAGGGTGTATGCCACCATGCCCATGAAGTAGATCTTAAGTTATTTTAATGCTCTTTTTGTTTCTTGAGAGATTTTTGCTATAGGTCGCATGTGCTTGCCAGAGAGACAGACAGAAAGACAGAGCAAGACATCACCCCCCAGGTAGATGGTCACACTGCAATCTCTTCTTCATTCTCCTCTCAGGATTTTGGGCATGCATACACACCCAGTATGAGTTTTAAGCCACTGGTCCAGAACTCCAACCATGGGCAACTATGTGGTAGTCCAGCAACGTAACCATTATGCCATCTACTGGTCCCTTGGTCCTGGTGTCTTCAAAAACACACCACGTGCATATGTGTTGCCCAAAATTCCAAAGGATGGAGAAATGGAGGAGTTGTGGGATGATCATGCCTCATTAGACTATTCTCTCTTCCTATCTGTCTTTCTGTTTGTCTCAAGTGAATGCGCACACCCTCAGGCAATTTACAAAAAAAAGAGAACTGGGACCAGCAGATGATGTAATGGTTATGTCTCTGGACTTCCACGTAGTCAACCACAGTTTGAGTCCCAGACCTAGCAGCTTAAAACTCACACCAAGTGCCTATGCATGCATACCCAAAATCCTGAGAGGAGACTGGAGGAGAAGGGATTGCAGCATCCATGTTTCTAGGGTTGATTTCTTACTTTCTGTTTTTCTGTCTGTCTCTCCCACGAGCACACATGCCCTATAGCAAAAATCTCTCTTAAAAAAAAAATAAGGAAACAAATAGAAATTCTAGAATTAGACATACAGTATTAGAAATGAAGAAACAGGTCTGTAGGTGGCATGGTGGTTAAGGCACTGGATCCAACATGGCCAACTGCTGTTGGACCTGGTGGCTTGAAAAATATGCCGCGCTCATGTACATGCATGTTCAAAATCCCAAAAGGAGAAATGGAGGAGAGGGGATTGCAGCATGACCATCCCCCATGGGGGAGGTGCTTTCTGTCTCTCTCTCTCTTCAGTGAACACATGTACCTTTTAGCCAATAAATAAATTAAAAAATTAAAAGTATATGTCACGTTCTTACATTATTTATTAGTTACGTATTTGAAATCAGGCTGTTATAAGAATGCTTATAATATAAAATAGCACAGTGAGCTATCACTAAAAAGTTAATAGAGGAGTTTAAAATGGAATACTAACAATATGTGACTCATTCAAATAAAGGCAGGTAGAGGTAACAGAACAGAAAAGATAGGAAAAAAGAAAACATGTAACAAGACAGTTCATTTAAACCTAAGTGTATCAATAATAACAGGGAGTGTAAATGATGTAATTTAAACTCTTAATTTAAAGATCACAGGACTGGATTTTAAAAACAGAAGAACCAACAATATGCCCATAATAAAAGACACTTTAAAAACATGAAGAAACAAAGCTGACTCCTTAGCACAGTGGGATTTTTTTAGAGTTTTGTTTGTTTTTTGTTTTGTTGTTGTTTTGCCTTAGGGCGTGTTCATTCACTAGAGAGAGAGACAGACAGTAAAAGGGGACGGAAAGTGAGAAATCACCTCCCATGGGGATGGCCGTGCTTCAATGCCTTCTTTTTATTTTCTTCTCGGGATCTTGGGCACGCACGTACATGTGCCCAGAGTGAGTTTAAAGGCACCAGGTCCAGGAATTGAACTGCAGTTAGTCATGTGAAAGTCCAGCGACATAACCACTATACCATCTGCTGGCTCTCCCAAAACAGTGTTATAAGTGCTGCACTTAGAAGGCCAGGTCCCATAGGGCCTACTGTGATTCGAATCACATGGCAGCATGCTCAGAATCCCGACAGGATGGATAATGTAGGAGGGCTTGCTGAGTGACCGTGCCCCATTAGGGAAGTGCTTTCTCCCTTTCTTTCTCGTTCTGTCTCACTCTGACCAGTGCATGAACCCCGTGGCAGATGTTAAAAATAAAGATCTTTACTATCTCCTTGAGAAAGTCACTTAATTCTCTTAAGTCACATTCTCCTCATTTAAAATCACTGTGAGGACATGTATGGAATTTATAAATATAGTACCTGACACTCTGTAAATAGCTGCTTTTGGTACTTTTTCCAGATTTTCCACAGTTAACAATATTTAGTAATCAGAACAAAAGTATATGTATATCCACACAAAGTACCTTGGCAAGACCACCTATACCATAGCAACTATTAAAGATTTGTTAAAGGCCAGTTCTTAGAATGAGCAAACATAAGTTCATATGTTCTGGCTCTTTGTGAACTTAGACAAGGCCTGCATTTTTTAAATAACCCTACATTTTAAAAATAACCTTGTTTTCAGAGTAGAAGTACCAACCAGAGTGCCGAACTCTGAGGGGTTTTGTTTTGAGGATCAAACATAAGTGGGACCAGCATTTAGTATAAAGGCTATGTCGCTGGACTCCCACATAAGTCGACCGCGGTTCAAGTCCCGGACCTGGTGGCTTAAACTCAAGCCAGGTGCGTGTGCATGCGTGCCCAAGATCCCGAGAGGAGAAAGGAGGAAAAGAGACTGTGCCGTGGCCATCCCCGCTGAGGGGTGATTTCTTGCTTTCTGTCACTCTGTCTCTTTCTGGCGAGTGCATGCGCCCTATAGCAAAAACCTTCCCCCCCAAAAAAAAATTTTAAAAAGTTAAATAATCTGAAGAAACAAAATGCTATACTAACACATTGAGTGTAAAAGCTGATTTTAAGCATATTGCTAGATTGTCTAGTGTCCAACACAATGCCTGAAATCTAGTGAGTATACATTTATTACTTGTATTAATAAATCTAGTGAGTATACATTTATTACATGTATTTTTGAATTGATAAATACGTATTTTTTTCTGCTTATTTTAAGTTTGATTTATATATAATTCCTTCATATGTAGATTTTGAGTTTTTTTACTTGTTATGATGGAAAAAATGATCACTAAAATTGGTATACATTATTGCTTCTTTCTGTTGCTTAGGAATGGAACATTACTAAACTTTCAATAGAGTATGATTCTGAGCCCTTTGGAAAGGAACGAGATGCAGCCATTAAGAAACTGGCTACTGAAGCTGGAGTAGAAGTCATTGTACGGATTTCACATACGTTATATGACCTAGACAAGTAAGTTTTCTTTTCATTTTTTTTAATTTGAGAAAATACACATAATACAATATTTGCCTGTAACTATTTTTTAGTGTACAGTTCATTGTTACTGGGTACATAGACAAGTTCTAACTGCTGAGAAATAAGTGCCCCCCCTCCGCCCCTGACCCTCCCCTCTCCCTCACTCCCCACATCACACACACACACACACGCCCAGCGTGAGTTTTAAGCTGCTGGGTCCAGGACTTGAACTGCAGTCGACTACGTGAGAGTCCAGCAATGTAACCATTATGCCATTCTGCTGGTCCCAAGATTTGTTAATTTATTAATAAAACTTTTAGTTTTGTTTGGCAGTACAAGTACTGAGATTTTATAACTTATGTACTTTTTAAATTATTTTTACTTTTTGCATTTCTCATAAAATTTGTCAATAGCTAAAAATAAATTCTATAAGTAATATGACAAACCAGTTAATTTTATTCCATGCTTCCAAGTATATTGAAAAATTACGATTTTACTCAGACAAGAACCTTACCTGATATTAAACTAGAAGCCATATATCCTCTGATAGACTTGCCTTGTCATTTACCCGTTTGTTTATTTAGGGAGCTAATAGTAAGGTGGAGGCAAAACAAGATAAGAGCAGTTGCTTCTAAGTGAGAAACTAGTATCATATGCACACAATTAACTTTTAGGTTTCCTTTTTGCTTTAGGGCACATATGCTTAGAGTGTGTGTAGGCAGGGTACAGAGAAAGTGAGAAACCACCTCCCCTCCAGGGAGAGATGGCCATGCAGCAGTCCCTTCTCTTCCATTCTCCTGGGATCTTGGACACGTATGCACACGCGTCTGGCATGAGTTTCAAGCCACTGAGTCCAGGACTTGAACTGCAGTCAGCCATGTGAAAGTCCAGCAACACAGCCACTGTGCCATCCACTGGCCCCACACAGTTTTTACTGGATTGAGTGTGAATTTTTACAGTATGTAATACATCATATTAAAATGTAATATACAGAAAAAAAATTTTTTTTGTGGCCAGCAGGTCGCGTAGTGGTTAAAGTGATAGATACCCACATGGCCAGTCCTAGACCCAACAGTTTGAAACTCACACTGGGTGCATGTGCATGCATACCCAATATCGTAGGAGGATAGAAGAGAAGGGATTATGGCATAGCTGGTTATCCCCCCAGGGGTGATTTCTCATTTTCTCTTTCTCTGTCTCTCTGGACAGCTCATGTGCCATATAGCAAAAATCTCTCTAAGGGACCAGCAGGTGGCATGGTGGTTAAGGCGCTGGACACTCCCACATGGCTGACCATGGTTCGAATACCGGACCTGGTAGCTTGCTTTCACTTTCCCTCTCTCTCTGTGTGTATCTCTCTCTGGTCAAAATAAAATAAATGAATGAATAAATAAAATTAAATCAATAATTATTTTTTTAAAATCTCTCTAAAAAAGGAAAGAAAATTTTTTTCTAAGTTTTTCATTTTGTTACTGTTATTTAACAAAGTCCTCAATAGTATCATTATGGTTAACACAGTTTATTGTGACCATATGTATATACTTAAAATATTGCACCAAAGCAACATTTATTTAAAGTGGAAGGGGGTAGCTTTTTGGTGATTACTTTTGGTGATACATAATTATACATGGCTTAATGAAAAATACACTATATTTGGACTAAGAAAACTTTTTTCCCCTATTTGTCAGTTATGTGACCTGGAGTGATTTACTTAGCTCTCCTGGTAGGCTTTAGTTTCTGCACCTGTAAAATGATAAAGTTCAACCTAGCCATGGTGGCACCACATGGCAGGCCTAAATTCAATAACCAGTCCAGCCTAAAAAGATACACTCGGTGGCCAGTGCCTATAATTTATCCCAGCAACTAGGGAGACTAAGACAAGAGGTTTGTGAGCTTAAGGCTGGCCAGGGCAGCATAACAAAGCCCTGCCTAAAAAAAACTAATATTCTTCTAGAAGGATTGATTGATTGATTGATTGATTGCTTTTGTCATAGGACATGTGTGCTTGCCAGACAGAGAAAGAGAAGGTGAGAAGTCATCCCACAGAGGGGTGGCCATACTTCAGTCCCCTTGCCTCCATTCTCCTCCCAGGATTTTGAGCATACAATTACACATTGTCTGTTGTCATTTTCAAGCTACCAGGTACAGGATTCAAACCGCAATGAGCCATGCGGGAGTTCAGCCCCTTAGCCACCATGCCACCTGAGGGCCTCTCTCATGGAAGTCTTAGTTGATTAATTTTATTCTCTGATTTTGTCTTTTTGGAGCTTATCAATGAAAATATATTGTCTTTTTTTATAATAATAACTATATTTTACTAATTCTTATAACAGGATCATAGAACTCAATGGTGGACAACCACCTCTAACTTACAAAAGATTCCAGACTCTCATCAGCAAAATGGAACCGTTAGAGATACCAGTAGAGACTATTACTTCTGAAGTCATAGAAAAGTGCACAACTCCTCTGTCTGATGACCATGATGAAAAATTTGGAGTCCCCTCACTGGAAGAACTAGGTGGGTGTAAACTATAATAAATGTGGAGCTTAAGAGTTAATAAATCATAAGTCACTCAGGAAATTTCACTTCTAACTTTTCTACCTAAAATATTTTGCATTAGGAGGAAAAGAAAGGGGGGAGACTTGAACTGTCAAATTTTAAATCTACCTATTATTTATGTTCAATAAGCATGTGATCTGCTGTTACCAGCTTAAGATGCATGTCCTAACGAGTAGAGACTATGTCTATGTTCTCAATATCCTCTATAGGTGAGAGTCTGTCTGAGCACTCTATTTTTATGCTACTCCGGTAATTTTTTTGCAAAGTAATTTGTTCTCCCAATTATTGTGGTTAAATAAAAATTATTTTAGTTTCAGAAGAATGATTTTTTCTCTCTTTTTTTTTTCTTTTCTCTCTCTCTCTTTTTTTTTTAAATTAAGGTTTTGATACAGATGGCTTATCCTCTGCAGTGTGGCCAGGTGGAGAAACTGAAGCACTTACACGTTTGGAAAGGCATTTGGAAAGAAAAGTATGATAATGCAGATCAAAAAGCCATGCTCATGTTTCCAAACTGGCATTTAAAAAATAAATTTTACTACTTCTAAAAACAAAAAAAATAGACTATTGGAAGAGGAAGATTGAAGAAAATAGTTAAAATAGCTCAAGCCCAATTGTTTGAAAATTAGCAATTCTTGGGACTAGCAGGTGGCATGATGGTTAAGGAGTTGGATTCCCACATGGTTGACCATGGTTCAAGTCCTGGGCCTGGTGGCTTGAAATTCATGCCAGGCACATGTGTGTGCATGCCCAAAATCTCAAGAGGAGAATGGAGGAGAAGGGATTGCAGCATGGCCATCCCCGCGCCCCCACCCCTGGGAAGGGAGGGTGATTTCTCTCTCTCTGTCTCTCTGTCTGTCTCTGTCTTCCAGTGAGCGCACATACCCTATAGCAATTAAAAAAAAAAAAACCTCATAAATAAGTAAATAACAATTCTCATTTAAATTTCCTTTTCCTTCCATCTTCTGATTATCTCCCCTTTATCTACTACCATACTACCTCTTAATCTTCCTACATGAGAGCTGGTACGTGATGACCATAACTTCGAAGCTAGGCTAGATTCTTCTATTTCACCTTTACTTCAGTGTCAAAGAGATAAGTTTGAGGTACTCAACCTTGTGTTAGTATCATGAAGACAATTTATTTCATATGTGTATGAGCTGCATGAGGATGGCTAAAACAAGAATGCACTTTTTATCCTTTTTTTTTTTAATTAAAACATGTAATTTGTAGCTGGGATAGCAAGATTTTATTCCCCAAGAGCTATATAACTTAAAATAGAAATGTAAATTTTGAACACTTTTAAAATTGATATGGTAGGGGCCCGCAGGTGGTTTGGTGTTTAAGGTACTAAACTCCCACATGATCACCCATGATTCGAGTCCTGTACCTGGCTGCTTGAAAATCACACCAACCACATGTGTATTCATGCCCAAAATTCCAAGAGGAGAATGAAAGAGAGGGGATTGTGGCTTGGACATCCCCTCTGGGGGATGACTTCTCACTTTCTCTTGACTTCTCTCTCTCTCTGTCTCTCTCTGGAGAGTGCACGCACCCTTTGGCAAAAAAAAAAAAAAAACTAAAAAACTTGATATGGCAGTTAGTTAATGTAATTCCATGTGTTTTCAGGCTTGGGTGGCAAATTTTGAAAGACCTCGAATGAATTCAAATTCCCTGCTTGCAAGCCCTACTGGACTCAGCCCTTATCTCCGATTTGGTTGTTTGTCATGTCGACTATTTTACTTCAAACTAACAGATCTCTACAAAAAGGTATTATCTAAAATTATAACTTATTTTTCAAAATATTTTTTTAAAAATTACTGATAATACTTCTTTGCTTTTTAATTGTAGGTGAAGAAAAACAGTTCCCCTCCTCTTTCTCTTTACGGGCAACTGTTATGGCGTGAATTTTTCTATACAGCAGCAACAAATAATCCACGCTTTGATAAAATGGAAGGAAACCCCATCTGTGTTCAGATTCCTTGGGATAAGAATCCTGAGGCTTTAGCCAAATGGGCAGAAGGCCGGACAGGCTTCCCATGGATTGATGCCATCATGACACAGCTTCGGCAGGAAGGCTGGATTCACCATTTAGCCAGACATGCAGTTGCTTGCTTCCTGACACGAGGTGACCTTTGGATTAGCTGGGAAGAAGGAATGAAGGTACGTGTTCTAATAATGTGCACTTTGAGTCCTAGAAGCAGCGGCTCGAAAAATATGCTGGATGTATGTATGCATGCCCAAAATCCGTGGAGGAGAAGGGATTGCAGCATGGTCATCCCCCTAGGGATGCGCTTCCTCACTTCGTCTCTCTGTCTGTCTCTCTCTCCCTGTATTTCCAGCAAGTACACACACTTTGAAGCAAATTAAAAAAAAAAAAAATTGTGCCATGTACGCATACTTTGAGAGAGCAGGATGGTGTAATCAGACCGGAGAAATGGCAGAGACTGATGAAATCAGTGAACCTAAAGTGACTACAGTAGTTTAACCAGCCTGGCCACTAAGAGAACTGTTAAGATTAAACACTCTGGATTTATTGGGTAGATGGTTTTTTCTGTTTTTTTTTAAAGAATTATTTTATTTAACTTTATTTATTATTATTATCATTGTTATTTTCCAGTTTGATCAGAGAGAGACAGAGAGAGAGGAAGTGAGAAAGCAAGCCACCAGGTCCGAGACTTGAACCATGTCGTCCATGTGGGAGCCCAGCGCCCTTAACCACCGTGCCACTTGCTGGCCCCTAGGTAGATGTTTTTATAGATAATTTTTGTCATGAAAAACATTCATGCAAGAGTTCTTGGAAATAGTGATTTTATATTATAAATTTAAGAATATAAATTATTTCTTCTCACTTCAATTTCACAGATTTTTAGTAATACTTCTATTACTGTGTACAATGAAGCATAGTACATTTCAACATCATCTTGTGGTTATATATAACAGGACTCACACGTGTATTTTACCTTTGTGGCTATATCATGAACTTCCTCTGTCCAGCCATTTTCTGATCCTATTTTTCTTATTTTCTCTATTTCCTATTACAGAGTTATACATGAAGAAAATGAAGAGTACACATTTAATGAATGTATAAAAAATCATTTATCTGTTTTCTTTTGGATCAAGAAATTTGAAACTTAAGCTGTATAACCCTAGTGCTTTTTTTTTCTCTTTCTTTTTTTTGCCAGAGAGCACAGGCACTTACTTGCCAGAGAAAGACAAGACACACACACACACACATGCACAGAAAGTACTTCCCGAGGGACATGGTCATAAAAGAATCCCTTCTCCATTTTCCTATTCCATTGGGATTTGGGGCATGCATACACAAGCTCCAACATACTTTGAAGCTACTGGGGCAGGACTTCAGCTAGTCAGCCATGTGGGACCTGGCTCCCTAACCGCTGTGCTATAGGACCAGCCCAGGCTAGTGCATTTTGAAAGTACATTTATCGTTGGGTGTCCTCCCTTTATCTAATCCAGAGGATCAAGTTTCTAAGTTTTTGTTGGTGATTTATTTGGTAACATTTTGGCTTTCTTAAAAGTGGCTTACTGTTTTTACTATACTAATATTTGTTCCTTTTAAATCAGTGACCCTCCACCCAATAACATTGCAGAGGTTGGAAAAATAAATCTATTCAGAAATCTACTATATTACCATTATATTCCTTGTCTTGAAATAGCTCTTCTGGAACAGAATATACACAAGGAAACTAACTTTGGAAAGTTTAATTTTACAATTCTGTGCTAGATTTTCTTTTCCTTGACTTTTGATCTATAGTGATGTCAAAAATTCTTGCTTTGAGAATTATGTGCATGTAAACTAACTGGTTGCTTTTACTTTTGAAGGTGTTTGAAGAATTGTTGCTTGATGCTGATTGGAGCATCAATGCTGGAAGTTGGATGTGGCTGTCTTGTAGTTCCTTTTTCCAACAGTTTTTTCACTGCTATTGCCCTGTTGGTTTTGGTAGGAGGACAGATCCCAATGGAGACTATATCAGGTAAATCAAGAGTGATTATTATTTTATAATCACTAAACCAAGAAGAGCATTTTGTTTGTTTGTTTTTAAAGGTTTTTGCTATAGGGCACATGCACTTGCCGGAGAAAAGAGAGACAGAGATGGGGAAAGATAGAAATCACCCCACAGGGTAGTTGGCCACACCACAGCTCCTTGTCCTGTCTCCTCGGGACCCTGGGCATGCACACACATACGCTGAACATGATTTTCAAGCCACTGGGTCTGGAACTCGGACCGCAGTCAGCCTTGTGGGAGTCTAGCCACCTTAACCACCATGCTACCTGCTGCCCCTGAACTTTTCATATTTAAACAATGCTTAAAGTATTCCCCACTCTTGATGAGCAGCAGAAATAAGAAGTTAGACAGATTATTTAAGTAGTATTTTAGTCACCCATAGCTAGTAGTCCTTGCAGTTTACTTAATGATTCTCCTTCCTTCCCCATAGGCGTTATTTGCCTGTCCTAAGAGGCTTTCCTGCAAAGTATATCTATGATCCCTGGAATGCACCAGAAGGCGTCCAGAAGGTAGCCAAATGTCTAATAGGAGTTAATTATCCTAAACCAATGGTGAACCATGCTGAAGCAAGCCGTTTGAATATTGAAAGGATGAAACAGATATATCAACAGCTTTCTCGATATAGAGGACTAGGTATGTCAGTAACTACCTCTGATTTGTCTCTTTATCAGCTGTTTACATACCTACCCTTAAACTTGATCTCAATTGTAATGTAATAAGAAAATGTTTGCATTTTAGGTCTTCTTGCATCGGTACCATCTAATCCTAATGGGAATGGAGGCCTCATGGGGTATTCCCCTGGAGACAACACCCCAGGTTGTAGCAGCAGTGGAAGTAAGTGAAAAGGAAATTTTTGCACTTACTAACATAAAGAGATTAATAATCAGATATATTGTTCATTAAACCTTACTATAAAAAATATAAATACCTATCTTTAAAATTAACACAGTAAGTGCTTTGTACACAGACATATCTGTGCATCCACATACACACACATACATCCCCTCACTCCATCGGTGGTATTTTAGAGAAGAAAAGCATCCGACTGAATGAGGAAGGCAATTTTAAAGGTAAAGTAAATCTCAAATCACATATTTTCAGAATGCTCATTATTTTTTACTCTCTCTAAGTGCATATCAACTGTGTGGAAATTATTTAAGATCAGTGGCCCTGTGAACGTGGTAGAAGAGTTATCATATGCAGGGTTTCTAGTTCTTTTACACATGAATTTTTTTCTTAAATAGTTTGCTCTGTGATGATTTTCTGTATGACATGCATTTAATTACCATATAAATTTTATTTCTTTTTGTTTGTTTCATGAGAGAGAAAGAGAGAAATAGATACCCTTGACAGGGTCTTGCCACTAACCTCTCCACAGCCTTCCAGCCAGCCAAGATCATGAATGCTCACATATGTTTAGGTCAGCCTGGCATTTGAACCCAGGACTTCTGCATAGCTCCAAGGTAGTGTGGCTGTGCCCTACTTCCTGTACCACTACAGCTGGGTCTCTCATAAATTTGTAATATGTGTGATATTGATAATATCAAGAAGTCAGTATATATTGGAATTTCAATTTATCATATCAGTATTCTAAAGTTCTAACCAGAAATAGTCTGAGGCTAAGTAATTTGACTAAAAACAAGGCAGCATTTGAGAAATGTTTAATTTTTCAAAAGTCAGATGTTTGGACCAGCAAGTGGTATGGTGGTTAAGGTGCTGGGTTCTCACATGGTCAATCACAGTTCAAGACCTGTAACTGGTCTTGAAAATCATACCAGGCATGTGTGAATGTGTGTCCAAAATCTCTGGAGGAGAATGGAAGAGACAGGATTGCAGCATGGCTATCCCCACGGGGGTTGCTATCTCACTTTCCTTCTCACTGTCTCTAGGGCGAGCTAATGTGTCCTATGGCAAAAACCTTTTTAAAAAAAGGCATCTGATGTTCTAAATTAACATTAAGAATGAAACTTCTTTTTTTTTTTGAGATGTTTTTGCTATAGGGCACCTGTGCTCGCCAGAGAGACAGAATGCAACACCCCCTATCCCCCCACCCCACCCCCCGGAGGATGACCACACCGCAATCCCTTCTCCTCTATTCTCCTCTCGGGATCTTGGGCATGCACGCACACGTGCCTGGCATGAGGTTAAGCCACCGGGCCTGGGACTCAAACCTCAGTCGACTACATGGGAGTACAGTGATACAGCCATTATGCTAACTGCTGGTTCCAAGAATGAAACTTTTAAAGAAATTGAAACTTTCTGCATTCAGACATTTTTATGAGAGCAGTATCATTTTTCTTTCTTTCTTTTTTAAATGTGTTGCCAGAGGGCACATGTGCTCAGCAAAGAGAGAGAAAACACCCCTCAGTGGGACATAGTCATGCCACAGTCCCTTTCTCTCTATTTCCTCATCCTGTCAGGATTTGGGGCATGTTTACAAGCCATTGGGGCTGGGATTCAAATCATGGTTGTCCGTGTGGGATCCAACTTTCCATGCATAGCACCAACCCAAGCAGCATGTATTTTATTCTCCAAGAATTAGTTGCAGGAGAAGGGAACAAAAGCAGTCAGATTTTGACTGCCAGCCTTGTGCCTAGTAGTAGGGAATTTTTGCCTGTGTTCTCATAATAACCTTCTGGAGAGTTGTGGGATCTTCATCTTATGATTGAGGAAATAATCCTAGAAAGATTAGGTAATTTAACCAAGGCCTCACCATTAGTACATAAATGAGCTAAGATTAACATCCAAGTCTGACTACCCACAAAGTTCATACTCTTTCCTGAATCATTCAGCCTTCTCTGCAGATGTAACACCACTTGTTTTGTTTGCCAGAGGTGGTATGTGGTCACCAGAGAAAGACTGAGACATCCCATGGGGAACAGTCACACTGCAATCCCTTCTCTTCCATTTTCCCATCCTTTCGGGATTTGGGGCACACACGCATACATACTGGATGTGTTTCTCAAGCTGCCAGGTCTGGGACTTGTATCCTTTATTAGAGTTATCTTCAAAATCGATTTATAATAGCAAGACAAGCAGATGGCATAATGGTTACATCACTGGACTCCCACATGATTGACGGCAGTTCCATTCCCAGGCCCAGCAGCTTAAACTCATTCCAGACACGTGTGATTGCATGCCCAAGATCCTGAGAGGAGAATGGAGGAACACAGACTTCGGCTTGACCATCTTCTCTCGCGCGCGCACGCGCGAGCACATGCACCCTATATCTCTCTAAAAAAGGCAAAAAAAAAAAAAAAATTATGGTAGCAGGTTAAATTGGGATACTTTTGCTTCACAAATTTATAAACATAAAGTAGTTTATGATGTAATAGAAGAATGAGTACATTTTAAATTAATTTTGCTAATATTTGCCTGTAACACACTTTGTGGCTAGATTTCATGAGCCTTTCACTTTTGTTTTTAGTTGCCAGAGGGTGCCTGCGTTTGTGTGAGAAAGAGAGTACCTTTCTATGGGACATGTTGACACCACAGTCCTTTTTCATTTCTTCTTCCTGTCAGGATTTTGGGCATGCACGCATGTACCTGCATTTTTTTAAACCTCTGGATCCTGGATTTGAACCCCGGTCAGCCAAGTGGGATATGGCTTCCTTAACCACAGCACCGCAAGGTCAATCCTATGAAGCTTTCAAAAGACATCAGACAAAAAAGCTATGTAGAGCTTATAAATAGGGATATAGAAGGGAAAGAAAAGTCCTCCCCTGCCCCGGGGGAGTGACTTCTCGCTTTCTATCTTTCTGTCTCTCTGACAAGTGCATGCGCCCTATAGCAAAAATCTCTCTTAAAAAAGAAAGTACCATCTTAAGGAAATTCCTAATGTATTTACTGAACTTACTATTCCATACTTCCCAGTGGTAATCACTCTCCTGATTTCTCTGTAGTTTTGTCCATTTTTCCATATTATAGAAATTGAATCATTCCAATTTTTATTTTGTGTGTGCTTGGCTGCTTTTAGTTAATATTTTGAATTTGAGGTTATTCTAATTTGTCTTAATGTTAGAAGAAGGAATAGAATTGGTAAATCTGAGAGAATAAAACTAAATGTCAACTTCATGAATTTTCCAATCAAATTGATCTTTCCTTCAGATTCCTCACTGTCTTCAGACTGACATTCATCCTGGTACCTAACACTTCTTTGGACTTAGTGATTATTTTTGTATCTGTCTTCTACTAGACTGTGAACCTCTTGAAGATAGAGCCCAGGTCTTACTACTGTTTATATTCCTAGTACATAGGTGTAGTCCCTAGCATAATTAAAAAATGTACAATACATGAATAAATAAAATAAGAGATAAATAACACAATAATCGAACATGTATTTGTTGACTTTTCAATTATAGTAAAATATATATAACATAAAATGTACTATTTTAACTATTTTTTTAAGAGAGATTTTTGCTGTAGCCTGTACGCATTTGCCGGAGAGATAAGAGAGACAGACCTGCTAGGGGGATGGCCGTGCTGCAGTCGTTTCTCCAGTCTCCTCTCGGGATTTTGGGCACACACACAAACGCACCTAGCCTGAGTTTCAAGCTGCCAGGTCCAGGACTTGAACCGTGGTTGGCCATTGGGAGTCTAGCACATTAGCTACTATGTTACCTAGTGGTCCCCACTTTAACTGTTTTTAAGCATACAGTTCAGTGTCATCAATGTATTCACACAGTTGCATGAATTGTTAAATACTGTTATACAATGCTGCAAAAGAAGTATGTATTAAGGCAAGCCCTGCTGATGTAAGACCAGAAGTAACACCACTCACTCATTGATAAATTTGCCAGAGCCCATAGTCTGACCTGCAGGTTTACACTCGCAAAAAGTGGAATGTTTTTAGTATAATATAATTAGAGATGACCATTCTGTGAGTGACAGGCTATAGATTTTTAAATAATATGAATTAAAATATCAGTAGAAAGTACTAGTTAATTTCTCATGGAGATATCCCTTCCTAGTGATGAAAAGGCCTCATCCTTGATCCAGGGCATCCACTTTCCCATTTTCAAGTGTTTGAAAAGTTGAATTCTTTATCAGAGAATTTATGAGCATAAAATTAAAATAAGTACATAGTCTTATTCAGGCCATGAGATGACTTATCCAGTAGCCAGGATGCTCTTATTTTTCCGTAATCTAGACGCACTGATGAAAAATGTTTCTCTAAAACTTTTCTTTGCTAGCCAACCTCTTCTCCTGTAACATTGTTTCTAGAAGGACTGAGGTAGTTGCTTAGCTAGGTAAATCCCACAGTCTTTGTCCTCTCCTTGCTGTGATGTGAATTAACCCTTCTGGCGGGCCCTTCCTCTTATCGCCAATGACATGTTTTGGAGTATTCTGAAGGAATGGTGTGGGAAAAAGGGATAAGAGTGAAGGAAGAATATCTGTGTCAATCTTGCCCCTTGTGTTTTACATTCATGATCAAGTTCTTAATTGTTGTCATCCAGAAAAGAAACACTTTATTAAAACATGATTATCAGTGACTTTTTACCTTTGAACTGTCAACAGTCTATTAGACTAAATTTAAGTTTTCCTGACTTAGAAATATAATTCTTGGGCTATAGGGAAGATTGAAAGTTAGTCTTTAAAGCATGTAAGTGGGGCTAAAAGTTGGATTTATAGCCTTAATACCTACATCTTGGATTTTATTTTCAACAATTTTACTATGTTTTAAATACTAACAGGTTGCTCTCAAGGGAGTGGTATTTTACATTATGCTCATGGAGACAGTCAACAAACTCACCTCTTAAAGCAAGGTAAGAATAAAGCATTCAAGAGTACTGCTCTTTTCACCTTTCCTATCTTAAATGTTCATTTTTTAAATATATAGGAAGAAGCTCCATGGGCCCTGGTCTCAGCAGTGGGAAACGTCCTAGTCAGGAGGAAGATACTCAGAGTATTGGTCCTAAAGTCCAGAGACAGAGCACTAACTAGGTAAATATTTCAGAGCTTTAACTTGCTTTAGTAGAGCATGTGATTAATATAAATTAAAAGAGTTTCCAGAATGGAGCTAACCTTTATTTGCACCCAGAGAATATTGAGGCATACAGTTTTAAGCAGTTCTATAAGATGACTTAGTTACTGGACAGTAGAGGTGCGTCTCTACTTGACAACATGCTGCACTTAAGTTTTTTTTGTTTGTGTGTTTTTGTTTTGCCTTTTTTTT